ATCAGCGCTAACCGGTATTATAAATACAATTCAATACTTGTAAACCAACTAATTTTAACTTGCTTATACGCTCAGCTATTATTTCGAGTGACTCGGGACCCATCGAGACTACACAGGCCTGGCTGAACGACTGTCTCAACGAGGTTAACAAGATACGTGCTAATCACCAGGCACCAAATTTGGTCATGGATAATGATGTACGTACTAAAACAATTAGGTGTAGTTCAATAAATATGTAAGGTTACGGGGATATTTGGGGCAATATCTTACCTTACTTATTTCATGAATAATACAAGTTTAATTTAAATATGTAATTTTTTATTGTGACCATGCACAGTTAGTGAATTACGCGGAGAGTAGGTGCCCGAACCTGGATGCCGGCCATTTGTGTACCGAGTGCCCACCAGACGCCCCTGGTGAGAATATTGCCCAGGGTTATAGAGCTACACCGGACCTCAGTGTTGATGTCGATTTTAGTACTTGCTCAAATGTCATAGATTATTGGTAAAACAAAATTATATTTTTATCAACTAGCAATATAATTAAAAATATTTTTAACTCCTGGATCCTATTTAACATTTATTTCAATGTACGTACGTATTGAATGTCTCAATATATTTGTAGGGCCTCTGAGGAGAAGGACTACGACTACGCTGGGAATGGCGCCAATGACCAAGGTGTGACTGGACATTTCACGGCACTGGTATGGGTGGAAACCAGTAAAATAGGGTGCGCTCAGTGTCCTGGTGTGCAGTACGAAGTGAACGTAGTGTGCAATTTCCTAGTGGCTGGAAATGATCCTAGTAACAACAGCCTGAATGTATTCCCATCAAACTCTTAATTTAAGAGCTTGGTAATAATCATTCCCTATATAAACTGTATCTAGCTAACTTTGACTCAAAGTTATCTTATACTGTATTTTAATAACTTATAATAATCTAAATTATAAAGCTTGTATTTATGTATGTTTTAATTAATTAATTTTTGGCACTAATTTATATATGGGGTTAATGTTTATCAAAATAAACATTGGATACTAACAAATAAATGATAAAAGTTTATTAAATAATTTAATTCGTTATTATATAATATAATATAATTTATATTACTCGCGTGATTTAATTAGTGAATTAGTGATTTAAAATATAGACAATTTGTTATTAACGGTATAAATAGAAAATGATTATTTTTTATACTAACTGTTCATTCGTTATAAATTGATAATTTACTTCATTGATAACTCTTGACATGAATTTGTTTATAATAATCGGTATTTCCTGACAACCACTCAATTAGTATTACATAAACTCATTGATTGTTTGAATGCAATCTTAAGGTATGTTATCATATGTGTTATCACTGGACACACCTGTAGATAGGGTCAGACGGGCCATACTCTCAGGTCACGCACGGGTAGCCAATATCCCAGCCCTCAACTCAAACACCTGTGGTTTGGTGAATGAGAGTGGTATTCAAATGCGTATTCTTAATGGACAGTCGACAAAGAGGGGTGACTTCCCTTTCTATGCCTATATCATTGGTGAAAACATTTGTGGGCAACCCTTATCAGTGGCCAGTGGTTGCTCACTGCCAGACATTGTATTGAAAAGTACGCTCTCTCTCTCTCTCT